GGACTTGTGTCGCTAAAGTTTCGTAGGAACGAATTTACGGGAAATCAATCAACAAACGGAGACGTAACAATATAAACTACACACTGGTATAGCTACTGTAAAAAAAAACAACACAAAACACATTATAGATCCAGCAATTTGCAAATATAGTTATTATAAAACTGTGTAACTTATTAAAGAAATTAATAATATTTTTTTCTTTTAAAAAATAACTAATCTTACAAACTAGGTCAGACATAAATATTTTTACTCAATAAATAAAATAAGTGTTGCAATTCTGAACTAATATTTGGTAGTAGTGTTTTCTATTGAAAGAATATAAACATAATTTAAACTATACATCAGATAGTAATTGTAAAAATAAAGTAACATAAAACACATTATAGATTCATCAATTTTTGAATATAGTTATCATAAACCTGTGTAACATATTAAAGGAATTAGTAGCATTTTCTATTATGAAAAAATTAAACATCTTTCAAACTATCTCCCATTTGCATATCTTCAAATAAATTCTAACAAATCAATTTTGTTCTACCTCTATGTAAAAAAAAAACTTCAATTTTTTATGAATTTTATGAGTAATGAAAAAAATTCCTTTTGGGATTTTTTAAGTTACTTGAAGTAAATACCTTCAAACTATCACATTTTTGTTTCAAGAACTAACAGATTATGATAGAAAGTATAAGTACATTTTAGATTTAATTGGGTTTTATATGAACTACCCAATAAAATTTCTCCCATAATTTATGAAGTGTTACACTGGACTTCTGAGCTATCTGATTTATTTGACTGTTTCTTAGGGGTGAAGTAATACTAACTACAGCATTTTATATATTTACCTTTGTGTATTCTTCATTGGAATGATTACTAAAAATGTCATGGCCATTTTGCTATATAGAAGAAAATAATGCTAAGATTAATTATCAGTATTTTTTTTATTAATCGATACATAATATTTATATATATTCTTTGCTGGATCATTAATATTAATTTCAAGAACATTTTTGCAGGTTTCATCTCATTTTTTATCCAGATATATTAAAGAAAATTACAAAGACAACCTTCTGCATCAAATCAAACAGATAACTGAAAATGTGACTTAATATTTTTTTCAACTTTAATTTCTTTATTGTGTATTGCATTTGAGTTTTAAATACTAAGTGAGAATTTGTAAACATTAATTTAAGGTACTTCAAAAAACAATAAGAATTTAAAACAATCTAGATTTTTCAAAATGCTGAATATAATATAATAAAATAATTCAACTTCTCCTCAAGCTAATTAAATTAAAAATAACAGCTAAAAATTATTATTTAAATGTAATAAGATTTTGAGCAATGGTATAGGAAATTCAACAATTTATTTCTGTTCTCTTGTTTTTCATTTCTATTCTCCATTTATTATTATTATAAATGTAATAGTATAAGAAACTGAACACGTATTCATTGTTATAAAAATATAGTATAGAAAATTGAACATTATATTTCTATGCTCCAACTCTTGTGTGTTATGTTAAAAAGGCTTCTTTTTAAGGAGAATAGCATTCTTCATGAGAAGGACCTGCAGCACCTTTAGTCTTTCTTGAGTGCCTTTGACCAGACCTAGGGCAGAGTTACTCTGGTTGGTAAAGGCTTGGGAGTTATATTCAGGTTACCTTATCCAGTCTTAGACTCATCAGCACCACAGCACTATTACAACTTTCAGTCATTCCTGCTTCTCTTGCATTGAGCTCAATTTTTAGGGGAGAACTCGATCAACTGTTCTGGATGTATAAGATGTTGGTAGCTCCTCTTTCTGAGCTATCAGTTGGAACAAGAAAGAAGTCATAGATCAGACCAACAAAAGTCCTACATTCAGGAGAAGATATCTACTAGGCTTAACAGCTCTTTGTAAAAGAAAATTTTTTTTTCAGTGACTTACTCTTCCTTTTTGGCCACCTGGATGACGTCCATCAACAGAACCTGTTAAATGGTGAACTATGAGGAAGTCATGAGCATCTTCTGAGAGGTATCGTTCCAGGGCAACCATGTATCAAGTGAGAAGACGTGGGTTAGGCAAAGCCAATGGACGACATCCTCAGCATGCCTTTCATTCTGCTGTCATGGACCAGAGACCAACAAGTTGTCCATAGGAGGAGGGTCCCTCAGTATGCCTACCTCTTTACATCTGTTATGTTGATGACATCTCAAGAAAGTACTGGCTGAGAGTTCATAGAGAACCTTTGGCCACAATCATGGAACTCAGTGAGTGGTGCAAAGCAGTTTATGCTGCCTGGAATGGCTGATCCACATAACAAGTTACCCAATGCCAGATTTTGAGTCTGAACAGCCAAGCCCTAGACTCCATCAAGCACTTACTGAAACATTCATTGCTGAGTTATGCCAACAGTTTGATCTGGTGGAAAATCAGGCTGCATTCAAGGTGCAGAGAAGGGTGTTCCAACAAAAACTGCAATGGTAGTTTCTCTTCTGACAAGGTACAAAGTGGTAACTTTGAACCATTTTACATAAAGGAGGAAGTCAGCAGCAGCTACTATGTCAGAAATATTCAACCCAGATACTTCCAAGCTCAAGCTACAGCAAGGGTTAACCAACCACCCAGACACCCAGGTGCTGCAGTCTAAGGTTTTTATGCTGCAACCAGTGCTGATTATCCCTCCATCCAGTTGTTTTTCTGGGGAAAGGAGCAAAGCATGTACTTTGCCTGTGGAATGTTGAGTCACAATAACTAAACTTCTTATATTTAGTGCTTGAAGTGGGGGAAAAGAGGAAGTGGGATAGTTTATGAAATTTTCTGAAGCTGAATACTATATTTCTTGCTTTTCATGTGTATTCATTATTTATTATCATAGAAGTAGCTAAAATGTAAAATCTAGAAACTTATTAGGTTATACTAGGTAAAATAATGAAAAAAAATACTTCCTGAGGTATACTCACGAGCAGCTCATGCATTACATAATTTGATACAGTAACATGAGTTGCACATTTGCAGATTAGTTGTGAGATATTGTTCAAAGGGCAGTAAAACAATAAAATTAAGTATAAACAGATGTATACTGTTACAAGTTATAGTGTGGAAACTACAATAGTTAATTTGTGGTTACAAACTCAGTCACACTGACCAAATTCTTAAGAAAATGGTTCATTTGCTCCATCTCTGTCCTACATTGTCTTATTTCTACCTTGCTTTTACACAGTATTTTAAGAAAAATCAGTTTCTCTCCCCACTACCTTGCTGCTGTAAACATTTATTGAACCTTTCCCTTCTGAGAAGCTTACAGTCTAATAAAAGATAGTAGACTGGTTTCAGGTCCTCCTAAAAAGAATTAGGATTGCATCCTGCTTCATTCCCCTCCCCACTTCAAGCCTATACCTTACTGTGAAGCAAGGTAAGAAAGGCTATCTGTTTCAACCAATGTTTCAGCAGGTACAGGAGAGCCAACTGCAAGCATTGAATGTGCCTGCTACAGCTGTGGAAACTAATGGAGTCTAAGTTGAATATGGTTACTGATTTGAGGGAGCATGACAGTCAGCTTGCATTGAAAGGTTAGTTGGTCAGCTTATCTCTCTTAGGGTGGAGCTTGGTATATATCTTTAAAAGTGCAGGGATACGAGATCAAGTTCTGGTTGATCTTACAGCATGTTAGGTCCTACAAGTAAAGTTACCACTCTGACCAGTGTATATCAACTTGGTTCTGCCAAATAGCACTAAACTACATGTGAATGGAAAGACAAGTTTCATTTTTTTTTTACAGGACAGCTTTCACAGAACAAAGGTTGTTTTCACTGACTTCAGTTCTGGTACTGACATCCTTTGGATAGATGTACTATAAGTGAAGTTGGCGAACTGATGTTATGGGGGGTTAACATGTGCCAGCCAGACCAGGCCTAGAAACAGTGAACTGCATGAGTGTATTTTGTGAGGAAGTCAAAGTAACTACATGTATACAAATGGTTTTCCATAATTTACTATGTTGATATGAAGACCATGCAAGAAATGAGTTGTTTCCTGTTAAAAAAACAAAGAATGGTTGGGAAGTTATACAGGTTGGCCCAAAAGTAAGTATACAGGTGATAATTGATAATGTATTTAAAGGCACTTACATGGAATTATGGGAAAGATAATCCTGCAGGTGTTCAAATTGAAACCTGTCACTGTTCACACAATCCTGCCTGTAAACTTTCTGATTCAAGTATGTCTGTCCATTAAGTTCTGTATATGCGTATGTGATATACCCTTTCCTTTTGTCAACATTCCGCAATTTCATACTGTACACTTTGTCCTTGAGTATTCCCCAGAAGGAAAAGTCCATAGGGGTACAGTCCAGTGACCATGGAAGCATCTTCTGGGACCTATACATCTCTGTGGGCAATTTTCATCAAGACAATTACAGACCATATGAGCAAAATGGGGTGGTGCCAAACCTTGTTGAAAGTAGAGTTGAGGGAAACCCAGCCACCACATAACTCCTGAGTTATGTGTTTCACCAGGACCCACAGGTATGCATCTCCTGTGACAGTTCCATCAAAACAAACTGGGTCAAGGACACCAAAACTTGCAATGGCACCCCAAATGGTGACACCCAGCTGGTTGAGTTGCTGCTCAAGTGTCACATGTGTGTTCTCAGCACTGCAGTACACACAATTATGCCTGTTGTGGCCTCATCAGACCACACAATTTGATCTAAGATTTTTCTCTACTTTTATTACAATAGTATCAGCGAATAATTCACTTATGCTACCCCATGAGTTACCACAGTTGTATCCTGAACTTCAAATAATTGTCTCCTTTTCGTCAAAGTCCACACAGACGGGTTCAATTGCTTTAGAGCACCCTTTGACAAGACAAATTATTCTCTTTATCTCTATTCAACTGTGAAACTCACTTTAAAATATCGCCCATTATGGCTAATCACTCACATGCCGGCTAACTTCACATTTTCTTTCGCTAAATAATTTTCTGATTGAACTGCACTTGACTTTTTTTTCGACTTCACTTGCACTTGCTTGGTCACCTATATTTATACATTGTTCACTGAGGCCTTGAACTTTCTCTAAACTATGCGAGCAGCTATAAGGTAACAATACTCACTTTAGGTAACGAGAAAAATACCTAAGATTCGGGTAATGTGACATCAACAATATTAGTAAAGCCTAGACAACAATGTAATTGCAAACACAACGTATGACTCATACAGTTATGTAACAAAATTTGTCACAACTAACACTTTTAAAACAATCCATCTTCAACACTTCAGTCTTAAAAACTAAACAATCATTAAATATTAAGTCACAAAACTAAATAATACCACTTACACTAAACAGTCTTGTATATCCAAAACATATACACCAGAGACAGAGAAACTATGCCACATAGCTCTTCATATTTAGCTTCTGATAACCTAGAGAAGAAAATCTAGATAACTTTTGTATTGCTTCAATACAGGTGTCCATGCCATCCCTACATAGAAAGTGCTAGTGCACTCTCCAATAGATATGCAGTATTTCTGTAGTGTTTGAAAAAAGATGTTAATTTGTACAACTGTGTCTAGTTTCTTTATTCCTTTCTCAAGAACTCAGTTACTAAAAAAATTCAGAATTACTTCACAATAAATATCTTGTTGAATCTCCCATTACCTTATCATAGTAAAGTGACAAGTTAGTTACAGCATTAGACTGACTATAATAATTATTTAAAATTATACAATATTAAACTAATTATAGCACAAGGGCCAATACTGTTATAAAATTTATTGTTCAAATGTATGGTAGTAATCTGTTAGAGGGATATCTGGAAATGGATTGAAAATAATTTTAAATAAAGTTTATTAAAAGCAAAAGTTTTTGTGTCTGTGTGTGTATTTTGCTATTTTGGGTCCATGTCCATAAAATCAACCAATATTCAGTGTTCCAAAAGCAAAAGTTTTTGTGTCTGTGTGTGTATTTTGCTATTTTGGGTCATGTCCATAAAATCAACCAATACTCAGTGTTCCACATTTCAGTGTCTTTCATTGTCCATTTCCACATTTATGTTCACATTTCAACATAACCTAAAGAGTACTAACAAAAACCATCTATATTAACCTGGAGAATAGAAACAGTCACTTGGTAGTGATGTTGTTCCATTACTGACACATTGTACAGTGCAGCCAGTGGAGACTGTGTAAATTCCATAAACCTGTTGTTTAGTCCTCTATGATCAATATCATGACATACAGCTGCAACTAACAGTGCTTCACACTAGAAGAATTAATTGGTTTATAATCTCTAGATTACACGGCAGTATCATTTAAAACAATGAACTTATATTTTCCAAAATATCATTTCAACATAATTTGTAATCACAGATGTATCTTATAAAGTACTGAATTCACCAATGAATATGTAACATTTCCCAATAGAAAAAAACCTAAATAAAGAACAGATCCATATTTTTGGCACTTGACTTTGAGACAAAGATTCTTCACTAAACTTTTTTTAAAAAACTATTAAACTAATTTTAAAAAAAGCCTAAGAGTCCTTGAGCCACTTAATTCAGTTTGGGTGAGAGTAAGTCAAAGCTTCAGATTGCTAAAAAAGTTTTATATATCTAATGCTAGAAGTCCAAATAAGTCATATCTATGAAACTTTTTCAGAAACTAATGCATGCATTTTACTTTCTTGGCATTTAATTTTACATTTTAAGGAAACAATTTAAGTATAAAACTTTTCATGCTACTTTATGTAAATAATTTAGAAGTTGACTGCCTTTTAAAATATTATTATATATATGAGCATGCTTTTCAACATAGAGTTTTGATCAAACATTTTAAGTTTCATTAAAAATACCTAAAATTGTATCACTGAAACACCAAATGCTAGAAATATCTTAAACTACCAATTTATCAAATTTACAATTCATAAAGGTGTAACTTACCTCGAGTTGTGTGAATTGCTTGTGATAGCATGACAGTATACAATACATACAATGAGTCACACTGACAGCATGCCAAAAGTTGTGGTATGGTACAGGACGATAATTTTTCTTAACAGCCAGAATAAATCTGCACAATTTTTCTGTTGAGAAGCTACAGGGAATAATGTTTTATCTTTTATTTGTTCAACAAGTATTCTTTAAATAGAGCTGAAAAGTCTTTAAAAGTTTTATTTTGGATATTTTTAGTTTTAGCAGATGAGAAATGTTGGTTACTTATCTTTGTGAGTTATATAATATTTAATGTATTTTGAAGAGTAAAGAACTATTAGTTCATTAAATATATCATATTAATATGATTATGCTTTTTTCCTATCTAACTTTATTGCAAACCCTTAAATTGATTTATTCCTTGTCTATCAAAGCTCATCTTCATATCATTTATTTATCATAAAATTCATACCAGCGTTATGTAACACAGCATATAGTATTATCAACCTTAGTTAGTTATAGAATAATATTTTATCTTTGAAAGTATTAATTCATTGTAACATGAATGACATTTAAGGTTAAATTATTCATATTAGTGACCCTTGAGTTTCGATAAATAAATAAATATAAAAATTGAGAACTTCTAATGTTGTTTTTAAGTTAATTTTTGTTTGTAAGGCTATGGCTGTAAAAACAAGTAAGTCTCTACCTTCAACTTTGGTATCAAATGTAAAAAGATAAATGAGAGAATTTGGAACTGTGAAGACATTTTCTTGTGAAATTGAATTTTTGATGTGCTGCTTTTGAGTATCCAGTTTCAAAGTACCACAATATAATTTAGTTGTGATTCTGATAAGAAAAAGTTATCTAGTACATAACCTCTACAGTATGAATACAGTTGTTGCTGAATGAGGAATATAATTAAAGTATAATGATAAACTCACACAAGTTCCATTTGGAGTAAAGTCATGACCACAAATTTGTCAAAAAAGTGATTGAAAAATCTATTTAAAGGAATGGTTCTCAAACTTTTAAGCCTGGTGGGTCATTAGAATTTCTAGACTGGAGCTAGAGGGACAAAAAACGACAATGAAAGTTTGGTTTCGCAATGCTGACTCACACTGTACTCCTTCATTATAGCAGTGATTTTCTGGCATATTAGACAGACAGCCCTTACTTTAACATCTGTAAAAAAATAATATTCATTCCATTTATCTTGAAATTTCCTCTTCTCTGTACTCCAATTTCTTTCTCAAACACATTTCATTTTTACTATACTACCACTACAATACAACCATTTAAACCACCAATACATCCTCCTACACAAAGTATAGATGATCTATACTTCAAGGGTAAGTCTATTTGCATTGGAAACCAGGGAAATATATGTATGAATTTCTATGATACCTTTTGATTAGCCAAACCAAGTATCACTGCAGTGGTTATATAAAAAAAAAAAAAAGAGATCAAACAATGTTTTTAGCACAATACCATAAACAACACAGGTAAGACTTCTTGCAAGTTAAGTGTGAATACAAACAAATACTTTATTAATGCTTTAATGATGACCTGATACAATGAATTGAAACATTGTAATCATTAAAATCAGAACTTGCCCACTGCAAAAGGTGCTGCTATTGTATTTTTAAATTGATTACCAATTCAGTAGGTTCCTCACTAAACATTAAAATGCAGTTGTTACTCTTAATTCAACAATTTCCTCTTTAGATTTTCTAAATGGTGACTCCTACCCCTATAAGTAGGTCTCTCCAATATTTGTAGGGTAAGGTGACTCCTAGGTCACTACAGTTATTATACATGTATAAGGACACTTACATAATCTTTCTTATTACCTTTTTAATAATCAGTACAGATTACAGAGATTAATTTCTTTTCAGACTGATCAAACATATACTCATGTTTACTTTAACAGTGTTTAATATTTGTTACTAATAAGTTAACATTCTTTCATAACAAAAAGTACATGTCTCTTCTAGTACAAATAAATAATACAAATGCCAATTTTAATACTATAAATGGTTAAAAACAGATTCATATAGTGGTTCCTAATAAGTTGTCAACTAGTTGTAATGCCAAATGAAGTAACTATAGATTAAGTAATAGGTATAAAAAATACTTTTATTCTAAATGTTTAAAACTTACGTGTTCTTTCCTAACAAGGTTTCCACCATCTGTACAAGAATTAAAGGCAGGTCTTCCTCTGTCAGATCAAGTAACGAATTCATAAACCTAGAACAGATCGGATACACTGAAATTATGTGCAATTTAGAAAGTGATCATTACTACAAAGGTGTTCACACACAACAAGTCCCTCAGTTTATTGAGTGATATTTATCATTATACTTGATTCCATAACATAATTGATTCAAGAACAATGAACACATTCACTGTCAATACACAGCCGATAATTTCATTCATGAAAATCAGTTATGAACTATAAATCAAAATGAAAAACATTCTTTTATCAATAGTCAACTTATATTGAAAGTTCACTTCAGAAGAATATTATTCTGATGTAAAACTATGTAGCTTTTTTATATGTATAATAAAAATGTACGATTATTTTTGACATCTTAAGAAATGTTCCATAAATTTTGTCGAGCATTTTATCAAAAGCAATATTTGAAAAAATAGATAAAAATTACTGAATAAGTGTTGTTAACATAAAAAATACAAAAATACTACTTACAAATTTTCCAAAAAATAGCTCACAGCTTCACAAGAATACAAAAAAATGATGAATTGGAGTTCTTTTTAGCAATAAATATATTCAGTATATGAAGGAGACTGTGCAGTTCAAAGGTAGTCTCTCTGAGCCCTTTGAAATACGCAGTGGCGTCAAACAAAGCTGTGTGCTCGCCCCCACTCTTTTTGGGATCTTCTTCGCCTTCCTCCTGAGATATGCATTCGGTTCAGCACAAGAAGGGATATATCTTCAGACTAGATCAGATGGTAGACTCTTCAATCTTGCCTGCCTGAATGCGAGGACAAAGGTTCGTGAAGTACTCGTTAAGGACATGCTGTTTGCTGACGACGCTGCTGTTGCGACTCACACGGAAGGGGAATTGCAACTGCTGATGGACCGCTTCTCGCAGGCCTGCCAAGAATTCGGACTAACCATCAGCTTGAAGAAGACAAATGTCCTGAGCCAGAACACACCAGCACCACCAGTCATCAATATCGATGACTATGAGCTCGATGTCGTTCACCAGTTTATCTACCTTGGCTCTACCATTACTGACAGCCTCTTGCTTGATGCTGAGATCGATAGGAGGATTGGAAAGGCAACCACGATGGTTGCTCGACTTACGGCAAGAGTGTGGACAAACTCTAAGCTGACCGTGAAGACAAAGATGTCTGTGTACAGTGCCTGTGTCCTCAGCACCCTTCTAAATGGCAGAGAGACGTGGACTACTTATGCCAGCCAAGAGAAAAGACTGAATACCTTCCACCTCAGAAGCCTGCGATGCATACTTGGTATCTCCTAGCAAGACAAGGTAACTAACACTGATGTCTTGTCTCATACGAACCAATCTACCATGTACACTCTGTTACGACAATGCCAGTTGCGCTGGATAGGCCACGTGCGCTGTATGAAGGATGGCTGAATCCCAAAAGACATCCTCTACGGATGCATACTTGGTATCTCCTGGCAAGACAAGGTAACTAACACTGATGTCTTGTCTACGATACGTAACCAATCTACCATGTACACTCTGTTACGACAGTG